CTATGTAACTTGCACGTTCTGCACAGGTATCCCAGAACTTAAAATAATAAAAAAATTCTCATGTTAAATGCAATGAAGTGTCCTGGACTAAATCCTGGAACAGATAAAGGATACTAGCAGAGAAAGAGTGGTAAAATTTATAGTTCAGATAATAGTAATGTATTGATGTTAATTTCTTGGTTTTGACAAATGTGGTACTGTCGTATATGAAATGTTAGCATTTGAGAAAACTGGATAAAGGGTATGCACAAATTTTCTGGGGTATCTTTGCAATTTTTCCGTAAATCTAAAATTGTTTCAAAGTAAAGTTTATTTTAAAAAAAATTTTAAAAAATGGAGTTTAGAGCTCCTCAAAATGGAGAACACGTCAGGCTTTCATTTGGGATCATGAAAAAATATATCCCAGGTGTAAAGGCAAACTGGAAATAGACAGGCTTTTATAAGAATATTGCCTTAAATAAACTCAATCCCTTATTGGATTAAGGGGACCTGTGCTTACTTTGCTGCTGAAACTAAAAGACCCCATTCTGGAGAAAGACAGTATCAACAAAGCACCCATAAATTTTCTTCCAGTGTCCAATGTTCAATTAAAAAGAATTACCAGGCATACACAGTACTCAATTTCAAAAAAATTACCAGGCATACCAATGGACAGAATGGAGAGAGAAAAAACCACAATTCAGAAAAGGGAAATCCCTAGGTAATCCCACAACCCAGTAAAAAGATATCCAGATCCTTGTGATTAATATTTAAGAAAACAGATGAAAACATGTACGTAGAATTATTCTAAAAACCTGGAATCTACAAATAATTAAATGAAAAAATCTAGAATTAAAAGTGTAGGGACTAAAGAACACAAGAGATGGGTATTGTAGCAGATTAGGAGTAGCTGATGAGAGGATTAATAACAGAAGAAAAGTCAGTAAAGCTATCTAAACTAAAAGAAGAGAAAAATGTAGAAAATGTAGAAGTGTTTGACATTGCATGTTCTCACTAATATGTGGGAGCTGAATGATGAGAACACATAGATACGTGGCAGATGTCAACACATACTGGGGCCTGTTGTGGTGGGTAGGGGGAAGGAGAGCACCGGGAAGACAGCTAATGGATGCTGGGTTTAATACCTGCTCTGTGCAGCAAACTGCAGTGTCACGTGTTTACCTTGGTAACAAACCTGCACACCCTGCACATGTACCCCTGAACTTAAAAGCTGAAAAAAAAAAACACGTAGAAGTGTTTGAGTTATAAAGAACTTGGGTAAAAAATTTAGTATACATGAAACTGAAGACCCAGATATGAAGGAGAGAGAGAATGGGGGCAGAAGCAGTATTTGAAAAGATCATGGCCAAGAGTTTTCTCAAAGTGGCCAAAGTCACAGGTTTAAGAATCAGTACATACACCATGCAGGATAAAAACAAAACTAATTCACAATGAAGCATATCATGGTAAAGTTGCTGAAATACAGACAAAACATTCTGAAGCAGCAGGGCGTGGCAAAAGTGATGGTTCTGAAGGAACAACAATAAGACTGACAGCTAGGTTCTTGTAAATAAGAACAAAATATAAGCTTGAAATGTTGAATTTGCTACCTAGAAAGCGCTGGAAAAAAAAGATGACTGTCAACCTAGAATTCTATACTGAGCAAAAATGTGCTTGAAATGAAAACAAGATAAAGATGCCTAGAATAAGAAAAACAGAAAAAACTACATGATATTCTAAAGGAACTTCTTCAGGAATGAGGAACCCAGGCAAAAACCATGAAAATGAAGAAAGAATGAACAGCAACAGAGGGCTAATATGTGAGAAATAGTGAACAGAGTGGCTATAATGTCTTACGTGTTTTAAAAAAGACAGCAAATGGAGAAAAAACCCACAAGACAACAGGGGTAGATGGAGTTAAAAGGTTCTAAAGTTTTTGCATTATCCAAGAAATGTTACAAGTAACAACATGTTTTAGAGTCTAAGTTCAAAATGGAGTGTTGTAATCACCAAAATAGTTTGAAACAACGGATAACAAGCTCATAAAGAGGAATGATGAATGGACAATTCTTGATTAGTCCAAAAGAAGGCAAGAATGAAAGGAAACTAGAATATAGAACAAACAGGAAAATAGAAAGCAAATGGTAAGAAAACAGATTTAAAACCAAACATGAGTTAACATTATATGTAAAAGGGCTAAATACTCCAACTAACAGACGAAGATTGGATTAAAAACGGAAATGTATATACTGCTTATAGGCTAACACTTTATATTTAAAGGCAAGAAAGGTTTGAAAGTAATAGGATGAAATAAGATGCATCCAAAAATGATAATCCAAAAGAGTCAAGTAGATATTAAGTCAGGAAGCATCACTAAAGTGGGACATTTAATGATAAAAGAATAAAAGATAAATTGTGTATGCAGCTAATAGCCCAAGAAGAGGTAGAAAACGTAAATGAAATAACTGTTGAAGTCAGGGATGTAATTTAAAATACTATCTAAAAAGGAACCAGGATGAGAGAGATTTGGAACCAAGTTCTACATAACCTCTCAAAAATATATAATTTCTACTTAAACACTTCAAGACAAAGTGGAAACTTCTCTATTACTTAATAAAGCTAGAAAAGAAAATATTGTAAGAATTATCAATCAACCAACTTTGTCATCTGAGCTCAACATACCAGGAATGCAACCCAGTATTTAGAAATTTATCAAGAGTGAACATATCAATAACTTGAAGAGAAAGTATCAATAGTGTCTAAAAAGGCTTTAGTCACTAGTAGAAGAAAACAGGTTAGATCATATTTTAAAATTCCAGCTACACTAAAGATCTAAATTAAAAGAAACAGCACACAAAGCAAACAAACTAAACCCAAAGCAACAAAATAATCAAAACAGAAACACCAGAAGAAAACTCAAGAGAATATTTGTACTCAAGGTCTTTCATTAGACCTGCCTTTTTCCTTTTTACACTTTCCACTTGTCCCCTCCTCAGGCACACACCTCAGAGACTTCTAGCATAGATTTGATGTAACTTTTTTTTCTCTTTTGTTTCCCTATTTGTCTTCTCCTACCTTACTGTGAGAGATCTTTGAATGCATATCTTTTTCATCTTGGTCTGTCCAGTGCCAAGAACATAGTAGATGCACATTAAAAGATTGGCCAATGAATGATGGCCCCCTGCCCAGGACTGCCTCAACCATTCCAGCCTGCTTGCCTCCTGTGGTGACAGCCCCAAAGAGCCAGAGGCAGATTATCTTTTGAGTAGTGGAAAAAGCATGGGCTTTGGACTCAGATTAATCCATAATGACTCCTGATTACAAGCAATATGGTCCTGTGCAACTGAGTTCTCTGCAGCTCATTTTCTTTAAGGTGCTTTGTATAGTACTGGGTCTGTACTCAGTGCTCAGAAATTGTTTGTCCTTGCTACTGTTGCTATCATGAAGCTTGAATGGGATGGGGAGTCAGTGTGGCTGAGGGTAAAGGATGGGTGATCTTCCCAGCATTTGTCTCACCAATGGCACAGTATAGTAGAGTAAAACTATGGACGGTGTATCAGGGTAAAAATAAATAGCTTCATTTGCTTCCTTTGCATTGTTGTTGATTCTTCTACTTACCATACCGACCACCCTGAAAACCTGTCTCAGTGGTCTTCAACTCTGACTGCTCCTTAGAATCACCTGGCTCCACCCTGGGCAATTAAATCAGAATGTTCCCCAGGGACATTTTACGTGTAATTGGGATTGAGTGGTTACTGGCCCTTTACTCTCTGGCTCCTAGTAGAATGAGTCCAACTTGCACAGTCCCAGAAACTGCAAGCGTTTTCTAGGAGCAAAAATTGTTTCCGAAGGAAGGTACAGAAAGAACGGGGCTTTGTGCTGGAAGTTTAGAGTCCTAGTCCTGCTGCAAGTTGAAGGTATGACCCCATAAGCCACAATACCTCTGCACCCTGGTTCCCAAGATTATCAAATAAGCACCATAGAATCTTCTACCTCAAATGATAATGGGAAGTTTAAAATGGAAAGTAGGTAAGACTTTTTAAACATTTGAAAGTGACACAAGTGTAATTTGTTAGTGTTTCCATCAGGATTCAACAAAATCCTCACTGTGCTACTTACCAGCTGTGGGGCTTTGCACAGCTCATTTTGCTTTTTGAATCCCAGTTTCCTCATCTGTAAGATGGAGCTACCTACTGTCCAAATTGCATATTAGTTCCCATTGCTAGCAGCAAAGTAAACAATGGGAGCTAAAAAATACAAGATGCTATATTATTGTGTTTGCTCTTATTATTGGTACTATGATTCCACTGAATCTAGAGAATCTTTGGTTACCAGCCAAGCTGGTGAGGTTGACAGGTACAATTGACTTCACTGCCTGAGAGCTGTCCCCTTAGCTTTCATTACCTGGGCTTTTCTGATGTTGGGTATGTGATGTCACAAGATCAGTACTGGCAAGAGATGAATGTATATAATCTAACAGAGGCAAGTTGAAATCCTTTGGTGTGTGGTATCACGAAAGGGGGATGGTCTACAGAGGCACTAGGGTGCCTGGCTCTAAGCAAATTCTGGCACTTTGCTCTGGCCTCAGCTTTTCCCTCCATGCTGCAGCACATAGTACCTTTCTCTAGAGCCCAGAGGCTCTATTGGAGTGGTCTGCTTCCTTTCGTTGACCATAAGTCCAGTGATTATAAAAGTTGAGGTCTTTGGGGAACCCAAGAATTAGAGTCGTGGACTTGAAAGTGAGAAATAGGGAAAATAGCACAATTATTTCTAATGTTTTGGCTCTGCTGTTTGTAGTCTTGCCTGTGCGAAGCAATACAAATTCATGCTGTCAACCAGTGATATAAACAGATTTTTCTTTCCTGAGGCGAATTTGATAATTATGATGTTGTAACATATCTTGCACCTCCCAAAACAGTAGATTGAGGATGTCAGGTTTCAGTACAACAAAATGGAACAAGTCTTTTCAGAAATCACGAACTGTCATTTCGAATGAGACTCTGAAATATGTTCCCACTTACCTACTGAGATGGTCCAAACAGCAATGATTTTCAGAAATGCCTTAGTTCTGGAGTTGAAGCGGCTGTGGTGGATGGGATTCTGGATGGCGACGTAGCGGTCCAGTGAGATGGCGCAGAGGTGCATGATGGAGGCCGTGGAGAAGAGCACATCCAGGTAAATCCAGACTGCGCAAAGCTTGCTGGGCAGAGGCCACCGGTACCCTACAAGGCAGAAAGTTGATGTCAGTAAACTTGCGCCTCCTGGGGTATGTGGGTCCCTACCCTATGACAATTTCCAGTTCTGGGACAGGCACAGGTGGTAGCAAAGAGCAACACAATGTATTTTTCGTATTTGAAAAAAGCCACTAACAACTGTACTTAATTATGATAAGCTAGCACTGGCTGATGAACGTAAGCTTTGGACATTTCTAGTGTCTGGAATTATGGGAGTGTGGTGTGGTAAACTCGGATTGACTCTCTTTGAAGGTTCTCTTTCTTCCCCCTTACACCTGGCAAAACATTTTTTTTTAAAGTGACTTACTTCAAAAGTTGTGACATGTTTTGGCTCCTCTTCCGTAGCACCTCTCACGCCATACTGTCAGGATTTATTCACACACTTACCTGGATTGTATTTCCCTAAGGTTGGTCTCAACTCTTGGCCATTATAACCATCCGGTCCCATACAGTGATGCTTATGGACATTTTGCCATCCAGTCCCATCACTGATGGCAATGAATTGCATTGGTGCAAGTGACTAAATGATTAAAAATTCAGCTCGTGAATATGTCTATTTGTAAAAAGGAAAAATAATGACCTAATAAGCCTTTGGGTGCCTAACTCAAATTTGGGGTATGTGTGGGAGAGCTGAAGACAAGGGTGAAGAAACATAAGGGAAGGTGTCCTTGCTCTGAGCTTTGTTTTAGGGAGGTATTTCTCAAACTTTAGTGAGCATCAGACTCTCCCACACCTCTTAAAACACGCATTGCTGGACCTCCCTCGAGAGGCTCTGATGCAGTTAGTCTGGAGCAGGCTGTAGAATTTGCGTATGAATCAGCAAGCTCCCGGGTGATGCTGATGCTGCTGGTCCAGAGACAGTGCTTTGCGAACTGCTGCTTTAGGATGGTGGCTCTCATCCCTGGCTACACATCAGAACCACCTGGAGAGCTTTAGAGAAGGTCCTGATGCCCATGCCAAACCCAGCCCAATTAAATCATGTCTGGAGGTGGGGGTGTGTGGCTGAGGTAGATATCAAATGTCAAAGCGTTTGCAAAGCTCCCCAGACAATTCCAATGTAAGAGACAGTGCAGGTCACCTGCTATATTAGGAAGATTAGACTGCCTTATGGACATAAGCAAAGTGTCCTGGTTTTGTGATTTGGAGGGGGATCAAGCAGTTATGTAAACCTTAATTAGTTTTGATCACAGTATAAGCAGTGAAGTTGCTTATACTGTAATCTGTCTGCATGTGAGAAGGAAAATTTTAAAGTCTGCTTTTCTTATTACAGACACACAAAGCCGAACAAACTCTCCAACACAAACGTATACTCTACCAAAATGCCACGAGGGATATTTAGACAAGAGCATAGGTACAAGCCTAATTAATCTACAACCGTTCACTTGAATTATTTGCAAAGCGCTTGAGCTGAAACGAAAGCGTTTTCCTTTGCAGCGCCTGATGGGGGAAGCCAAGCTGTCTGTTCGGAGCAGTTGTTGGCCCCCGGAGGGGTTTTCTCTACAAGAAGCCGGCCCAGGCCTCAGTCTGTATAACCGCTGCAGGATAAGGAGAGGGCATTTCCTTGTGGGAGAAGCCCCCCGCCCCATGCCCCATGCCCCACGCCCCGTGGGCTCGGGGCGGTGGGAGGAGTAGCCCAGGGAGGGGCGGGGCTCCGGAGGGAACAGGCTGCGCGCTGAGCGGCCACCGCCAGGGGGCGTCCTTGCTTCCAGAGCGGATGGCGCTGAGGGTCATCCCACGCTCGAGGCTGTTTAGGTTCCTGCTCTGTCACTCTTCCCACCCCCACTGGAGTTTGCCCCCTAGGGGAGGAGGTTTAGGAAACAAGAACCTTCCCGGAACGCCCGGGAAAGAACAGGCGAATTTAATGAAATCATTCCGGTGTGGCACTTAAATGGTCAAGCGAGGCTGGACTTGGACTGAGCATGACCAGCCTTGTGCAAACTGCTGGTGCCTGCTCGCCCTTGCGTATCGCCTTCCTTCTTCACACTCTCCAGGGCTGGCTTGATGATTTTTAATCTTGGCCCCTAAGACTTGGCCAAGAAGTTTCCCTGTAAGATAGCTATCATAACCTGTCTCTAAGACCTGGGTGACTGCTGGTTGCGCCTGTGTCACCAGTCCCAATAGTCTCCTCTTTTAAGGAGACGTCTGGCCGTATTACTCATAATTTGGAAAGAAAGTCACATTCTGCTCCCCCGCTGAGAGGTTTGACTGTTTCAAACTCTGTTGAGAAGAAAGCAAGATTAATCTCTTCCCATTTGCTTCCCATCCTCCTCCAAACCAGACTGGAGGAGTTTATGCATATGCATTTTTAAAGAGTTGTGGATATAATTCAAAGGCACGTTTCCAAATTAGCTTCTCTGGGCAGGGAACAATTAAAACTGGAGTAATTCATTTATTCTAATGGAGACTCTGCATATTTTAACATAAAACCTGCACCACTAATGTTCTCCCTGCAAATGTTCCAAGGTAATTGGGAAGGCTTTACCACTCCATTAGAAGTGCTGAAAACTGTGTGACAAAGGTAAAAAACTGCTCTGTCCTGAAGGCTGGAATATTGGTTGGGATATATAAAGGGGCAAAAATCAAGTAGATTCAGAATGATGGGTAAGTTACTGCTTTCTGACTGTGCTGGGGCAATTTATAAAAATTTCTACATTGAATGTACATGTTTTAAAGCACAAAACTCTCCAATGATCACAGGTAATAGGCTGTTGGATTTTTATGTGAAATCCCATTTTAAGAGGAAAAGAGAAGTAACATGGTAGACCCTAGTCTATAAACAAAGCCTTCTATTTAGAGTTTGCCCCCTGGGCCCCATCTCATCTGCTGATGGCATGCACATGCTCTTTATTACCAGTGTGGGTACAGCTGGGAAACTAATGCCACTCACCATACAGGATGGTTAACATGGACACGGGCATGACAAGGAAACCCAGCAGCATATCAGCTATGGCAAGTGACATCAGGAAATAGTTGGTGGCATTCTGCAGCTTCTTCTCTAGGGACACTGCCATGATGACGAGTATGTTTCCAGCAATGGTTAGAATAATCACTACAGCTGTCAATAAAGCAGACCAGTTTTTTTCCTGGAGATGAAGTAAGGAGAGACACGATGGCGAGAGGCACCCTTCACAGGAAAGGTTGGTTCGATTTTCAGAGTCGACTGTCCAGTTAAATGCATCCGAAGTGTTAGCTTCTCCGGAGTTAAAGTCATTACTGTAGAGCCTGGTGTCGTCATTTAGTTGCATTAAGGAGTTCATAGCCGAGCTCAAAGAAGTATTTTCTTCACAAGGAATATCCATGTCTAAGCCAGAACTTGTAGCAGATGAGGTGTGGAAGGACTAACACATTACAGCCTCTGCTCACCATTCACCTTGGTGTCCCCACGCTCTGTAACACTGAGGCTGGTGTATATGCTGGTCTCCCTGCGCTGGAGTTTTGTCTCCCATTATTACAATGATACTTAAAGAACTGAACTGTGGTGGCTCTAAGTTTTCTTCATTCACAATTTTAGGAGAGTCCACTGTGTGGTTTTATTATTTTCCCACCAAAGCGAGGACAAAAAAGCAGAATGAACTTTTAGCACAGAGGTTGCAGGGTTTTTTTTTTTTTTTTTTTTTTTTTTGCCTTCAGGGAGACAAATGTCCTGGACAAAGAAGAAAAGTTTTGTCACTACTGGGAATCTTGTTTAACTAGATCTCATTTTGTTGGTTATGCCGATAGTATTAGTTTAGCCACAGTATCATTAAAATTGCATGCAATCAGAAACAGCGGGGATGTATGCATTCTACATCAAGAAAGTCAATTAAAAATATCTCCAGTGTTAATCCCATAGTAATTGGATGTACTTTGGGTTACAGTTCTCAGCCATTCTTAGGCTGAATTGCCACAGCTGCTGTCAGGAATTTCGGTTCCTATAATGTTGTTCAGTTGACAAAAGGAAAAGAAAAAAGTCTTAAGTAAAGATTAGCAGACAACTTTCCCCACTAGAAATTCTCATTGAAATGATTACATTTTGGCCAAGCATGATTTCAAACCGGAAAGAAAATTACACAGCAATAAAATATAGCAGCATGAGAACTTACATTTGTCTTCAGGGTCCACACATGAGACACATTTGTTATTCTGTGACTCGCTGCCTCTCTCGCAGTAATTAAACTGGCGTAGAGTCCCCGCTTCTTGATCTTCCACCAGCATAATATGATAGTAATTTGCTTTCTGTTTTGCTGACTTCAAAAACTGCATGCAAGGGCTGAGCCAGCTCCCGCACTGCTAGGATCCTGTTGGCTTCCTCCGGCACGGCTCGGCTGGGTCCTCCCTCCCTGTGCGGCTCGCCTCAGCAGGCACGCATTTAGAAATCATTCACGAGCCCCTCAAAGTCGTACAAAAGAACTGCATGGAAAGTAGGCAGAGCTGTCTGCACCAAGGGAGTCCTGGTTTCCACGGGAATGGAGTAGCTCTCTGCTGCCTCGTTTACTTCATCAGACCTCCCTCTATCTGTATGTCATAAGCTGCAAGGTAGCAACAGCCAGGAGGGCGGACCAAATAGGCTTTTTTTTTTTTTTCCTCCCTCTTTTTGCTACATATTAATATTGGGAAGTTTTCCTTTGCTTTTGAGAGAGAGAAACTGGAGAAATGGCCTTTTGTGCAGATTCCCGTTAAGGTAGGTAAGGGGCACTGTCGTAATTTTTTAGGCTGAAAAGTGAAGAGAGAACATAAATAAGGCTAGAAAACAGTACGTCCTGGGAATGCTGTAAGCATCCTGTGCCTCCATCCAAAGCCAACAGTGTTTGTGTCCAGGGTGGAATTATTGACATTGGCCACATGGGCTCAGGGTGGCCAGGCACATCTGTGGTGTTAACTGTGATAAACGATTAGCACTATTTTTATTTATTTAATAGATAACACCACTCAACTGGCTTATTTTCTTCAGCAGAAATATGCCACCCATATATAATTCAAAACCTCGCCTGCAATAGGAAATAAGTTGGTTTTGCAGTACCAAATTTTTTTTTCTCCCACCGGTAATGACAATTTGCCTTACCTGTAAAGAGAGCCCTTTCCTAAGTAGGTTTCTAAAGGAGGCTGATCTGTCTATTAGGCATGAAAATATTTTCCTGAATAGTTGGGGTTTTCTAGAGTTCTAGCACCTTCTGTTCTTTACATTCTCCCTGGACAAATTCAGCCACTCTCACGCCTTCAACGTGTTTGTGGCCAAGTCCGTACCTTCATAGCTGATTATTTCTCTCAGTTGCAGACCTAAATCTCCAGCTGCCCATTGGCTCCTTCCATGGTAGCCTAGGAGACCTCGACCTCAGCATCTTCCCTCACTCTCCATCCCCCTGCCTGGCTCTCAGTGCTTGTTCCTACCCATTCACGTGTGTGGCAGAATCACCACCTCTTCAGACAACTGCTGTTTTCCATGACTCTTCCTTCATTCTCACTGCTGGATCCTAGTCTCCGGTGCTACCTCTGTGTGCATATTTCTCACAAGTTGTCTCCTGCAGCTGGCAGCTTGCACCTCTGTGGTTGAGGCCTGGGCCATCCATTTCCTGGGCGGGTGTCTTAGTGCCCCCCCCCGTGCCCTGCCTGCCACCCTCCTACCCCTCCACGTCAAATGTGTGCACTGGCGAGCAGGCAGCAGAGAACACAGACCTTAGAGTTCCTTGGTTTTGAATCCTAGCTCTGTAACTCGCAAACGGTAAAACCTTGCATCATCTAGTCGCTCCCTTTAAAGCTCAGTCTTCTCACTTGTAAAATGGGGTGATGGTGGTACCTTCCTCATGAGATGGTAGTGAAGCTAAAATGAGATAATGTGTGTAAGTATTTGGCCCGTGTCTGGCTTATAGGAGGTTCTCAAGGAATGTCAGCCACTTTCTTTCTAATTGATATTGTTAGTGATATGATTTAATAACAGAATTGGCCTCGCTTCCACACCTACACTCCTGCAGTCCCTTCCTTGTGGGGCACATGACACCGTCCCTCGTCTACTTGAACCTGCTTGCCCCACTTTTCAGGCCTGATCTCTGGTGACTTTCCTACAAGCAGCCTATATGTGGACTGAACTTGCAGTTTCTGACCATATTTTTGTTTGTTTGTTTGTCATATATATATATAAAATTACACTTTAGGTTCTGGGGTACATGTGCAGATCATGCAGGATTGTTGCATAGGTATATACATGGCAACATGGTTTGCTGTCTCCACCCCCCTGTCACCTATATCTGGCATTTCTCCCCATGTTATCCCTTCCCAACCTCCCCACCCCCCACTGTCCCTCCCCTATTTCCCCCTAACAGACCCCAGTGTGTGATGCTCCCCTCCCTGTGTCCATGTGTTCTCATTGTTCAACACTGGCCTATAAGTGAGAACATGCAGTGTTTGATTTTCTGTTCTTGTGTCAGTTTGCTGAGAATTATGGTTTCCAGATTCATCCATGTCTCTACAAAGGACTTGATTTCATCATTTTTGATGGCTGCATAGTATTCCATGATGTATATGTGCCACATTATCCTTGTCCAGTCTATCATCGATGGGCATTTGGGTTGGTTCCAGGTCTTTGCTATTGTAAATAGTGCTGCAGTGAACGTATATGTGCATGTCTTTATAATAAAAAGTTTTAGAATCCTTTGGATGTGTACCCAGTAATGGGATTGCTGAGTCAAATGGAATTTTTATTTCTAGGTCTTTGCGGAATGACCACACTGTCTTCCACAGTGGGTTTCTGACCATTTCTATCTTTGTACTTATACTCCCTGTGCCTGGAGTGCTCTCACCATTCCTTTTGTGTGTGTCCGTCTGGTGAATTCCTGCTTGGTTCCAGAGTTGTCTCCTCTGGATCCCAGGCCTACCACTCACCACCTGCGTGCCCTTGGTTAAGCTGCTTAATCTCTCTGTGTTTTAGTCTCCTCATCTGCAAGCAGGGAATATTAATAATAAAAAGACCTCAGAGGATTGATGTGAAAGCCAAATAAATTTACATACGTGCCTGGCACATTTTAAGCACTCAGTAAAGGTTAGTTGCTGCTATTCTTACTAAGTTTACTGTTCCTAAGCTTTCTGTAGCCCTCCTTCCCAGTAGAGGCAAAGATTATAGCATCTTCTGCAGTCTTCTATTTTAACACATCACGTCTCATGTAAGCCTCATAAAGGCAGGAACTGTGTCTATCTTGTGAACAGCTGGGCACATAGTTAGTGCTTAAGTATGTTTGTTGAATGAATGCATGACGGACATCTGTGTAAATGTCTGTCTTCCCTATTGGCTGTTGTACGTGTAAATGCCTCTGTAATGATAGCTGTGTAAATGTCTTCTGTATTAGATGTTGAACTTTGATTCATCTCTATACCCTTAATATAGATATGATATAGTGTAATATGCATCTATATTATACTATCCACCCAGATGTAATTCAGAACTTCACATGTGGTGTCTAAGCATGGTATTTCATAGTGGAAGGTCCTCAACAGATGTGTTCTGATTGAATTGTTATAAGCATAAATTAAGATGAATTGATGGTTAAGAAGAAGAGCCAGGACGAAACCTAGAAACTCTCGTTTTTTCTTGTTACTTTGTTTATTGGGATACCAATTTAATTTTATTACAGAGGGCAAAGGGAAATGTGGTATAGAAAGTACTCCCGTGTTAGAAAGTTGTTCAAAAGCTTCTAAGGTTAAATTTTATAGATTTTCTTGTTATAGCTCTTAGAGAATTCTGATGATCTCAGGCCGTTATTTCTCATGAAGAACAGCTAGGCTTTTAGTCATGCCAAAACTAATCAGTGTTTCTTATGTGGTTTATACTGGGAAATATTTTTCTGGTAATCATCTAAGATTATTTGTAGTTTTTATTGCAATTTTATGAACTTGTTATGGACAAAGCAATAGGGGCATAATCTAGGCTCCTGATTCTTGAACAGAGCTTCTTAGTTAACAGCATGAGAGTTATAGTAGGCAGGAATGGTTTCTTGCTGGGCAGACGCCTCTTGTGAGTTTGGTGAAAGTCTGTGTGTTGGCTGTGTAGTGCATGCTGTGATGCATCGCTTAGCTTCTGCTTCACTGCTGAGGCACTCAGGCTCCCTGCTGCTGGAAGGATTGGTGGCTGGCTCTGCATTCTTTGTGTGAAAACTACCCTCAGCCAAGGATGCCAGCTTGCCAGTGGTCATGCCCCTTCCCAGTGGCAGCCAGAATGCAATGACTGGTCTGTTGTGAGGATATAAAGGGCTGGCCCTCTTGCCTGATGGCTGAATCACTGGTTCCAGTGCTCCTATAGGATCCACCGAGGCCTTTGTTATGCCAAATCCCAGTTAAATATCTCCCCGTGTCTAGTCTGGCTTCTCTTGCTCCCCTGCAGGTGTTGATCTGAGAGCTCTCCCCACACAAATCTCTTGCACATACATCAGTCACAGAGTCAGCTTCCTGGGAACTCAGCCTATGACTTATCATCTTTAGCTGTGTTTTAATGCCCTGGTAGCATCTCTGGGTGAGCTGGATGTCTTACACAAAACAGATAAGTTGTCTATATGGTGATGAATGATACTTCCTTGCCATAAGCTTAGAGTTCTTCAGTATACACCTGGCTTTGCTATCTAATTACTGACAGAAGGAAATTAAGGTCAACAACTCCAAAACTATATTTATCATCTTGGGCAGAATTTCTCTAGTCCTTAACTGGACTTTATATGGAACAACATTTTAGAACTAGTTCATTCTGGAAGGTTCACCAGAAAGTGATTACTTAAAATTAGTTGTTAATTTTTTCTCAATGACTGCAGTGGTATTTGTCACCCTTGCTTGAATTTTTTCAAGGCTAAAGTTACTGGGTTTCTGAAACTCTAGTGCCTTATAGATGTCAGGGCATATGAGAAAATAAAAGTTCCTTGAGCAATTAAGTCTGGAACATTACTGTATCCTATAGTCTCTTCTTAGAAGTATATGGTGCATAATTGTGTATTAAAAGCTGTGAGAGATCTTTCAGTAAGGAAATTTGTTTATATTTATTTCATTCCTCCTCTTCCAGAATACTCACTGAAGGACACTTTTATTTTGTCTAAATTGAGTTATATTTTAAATGTATTAAAACATAAAGTTCTTAAGTATACAATTCAATTAGTTTTGACAAATACAGTTTTGTCAATGAGTTTTGACAAATATGAGTTTTGATGGTATATGCATGTCACTGTCACCCAAATTAAGGTATCTACCATTTTCATCATTTCTGAAAGTACTCTCCTATCCCTTTTTGACTTTAACTTAAATGGAAACATGTGGCCCTCCTTCCTCTTGGAGGCAAGGACTATAGCATCTTCTGCAGTCTTCTGTGTCCGGCTTGTTTCATTCAACAGTGTATCCGTGAGTTCGTCCATGTCACTGTGATTAAACTATTTTTTAATGGATTATAGTCCAAGAAACTGAAATGGCCGGGACATTTGGATTGTCAACACTTATTTGTTTTTCTTGTTCAAAGCAACATAGACTAGGCCCCTTTG